CCCAGGCTGGTCTGTTTTCCTTCCTCTGACTTCCAGATTCATGTTTGTTTTAAATGTAACATCCAGGGGGGGCTGGGGTTGTGGCTCAGTGGTAGAGTACTCACCTAGCACATGTGAGATGCTGGGTTCAATCATCAGCACCATATAAAAATACATAAAATAAAGGTATTGTATCCAACTACAACTAAAAAAATATTTTTTAAAAAGTGTAACATCCAGGGTTTACAGTGGGAGGAATAGAGAAAAGCCTACTCCATCTTCCTGGAAGCCAAAGACCTGCTGCCTTGAACTTTTTAAAGGGTGCTTTTGTAACTTAAGTCAATGCAGTTCTAATTTGCAAGAACCATTTGCAATGAGCAAGAAATAATTTTGTTGGACTCTCAGTCTCTGGGGATTATTGGGAACATAAAAATCACCCTCCAGGCCATGGAGCAGGGAAGAATATGGGACTTGTGATGGTAGATTTACTTCCCCAAAGGTGATACAATTCCTTCACCAGGGGAAGAAAGCTGTTCAGATGGAGTTGCCAAGGGATTAGAAGCTTTATGCTTTTGAAGAGGAGGTCAGTACCTCCATCTCCCTGTGTGATGGGGGACAGTCAGCATAGTAGAAATCTGACCTGTGCCCATTTCCCTGGTAACAGATCAAGGATGACAAGTGTCCTAGAGAGGACTATGTATGTCCTTATGTGCTCATGCACCGATGTGCATGTTAAAGAGCAGCAACACAGAGTCATGCAGCCCTTCAAAGACAGAGATACTAGATGTGCCTGTTATCTTTGCTCACCTGAGTCAGTCTTAAAGCTTTCGACCTCTAACAGAAGCCTCAGGGGTTCCCAAGGCCTTTTAGTCTCTGGAATTTCCGCACCATCGAAGCTGTCAATGCCCTGAGTATGGGTGTCAGGGCAAGCTCCTCTTTTAACTCAACTCACATACCTCACTATTAAGCAGGGCCTCCTTGAAGAAGATTGATTTACCACATTAAGTGAGCCCCGATATGCTCCATGAGGATGCCACAAGACAAACAGCTCCTGCCGTGTGCCTTCATCCCACCGCCCTGTGTTTCCATTACATTTGGGCCAGAGTCATGGTGGATGGGTTTGGGTGTAGTTCATTTTCTGCCTTACACGATAAACTTGTCAGCATTTGAACGATCAGCACTTGTATGCAGGGAGTTCATTTGCAAGGCCACCTGGTTTCTCAGCTCTGTCCTGCTCCCATTTCACTCTGTCTAATGAGCCAGGACCTGGCTTCTGTTGAGCAGCACTGAGCTGCTGGGCCCTGCACAGCCTGCAGGAGATGGCAAGACCTCAGCCACTCCTCAGGCATCCTTTTCTCCTGCCTGGAGGAGGCTGGGGCACTGATGCCCAGAGGACAGTCCTTTCTTGCTGCCAGCCTTGTGATGCCCAGAAAGTCTTTCCTTTACTTTCCAGGGTTGTATCAGGTTCCTCCAGCCTCCTAGCAGGTCAGGCTTGCTGTGGGCTTTCTAGGGAGCTGCAGCTTGTCCACCCCACACTGATCTTAGGGCTGTTTCCAAGAAATCTTGGTGAGGCCAGATACCCAGCAGGCTCTTGGAGCTCAGCAAGGCATAGCCAACAGGGCTAAGGTGTGCAGCTTTTGAGTTGCCCATGGTCCCTGCCTGGCCTCCAGGTCCACACCCTTCCTATGCTGCCAGGCATTTTTGACTCTACTCTGACCATTTTAACCTTGGTCCAATCTTCTTTGGTGACTCCCTGTTGTTGCTGAGCCTAACATTCACAGCCCTTGATGATCTGCTCCCAACACAAGCATTGGAGTTCAATGCCTGGGATCAAACCTACTCCTCCCTCTTACTGGATGATTATTATCATCCCCCATTTACAAGTGAGGCCTTGGAAATTGCCTAAGGTCAAGATATTTGGTTTCTCTGTTTCTCACTTGCAGATGAGACATGACAATGATGTCTACTGCATATTCACCAACATGCATGCTTAGGTTGGTACTGACACATCATAGGTGCTCAAATAGGTTGGCTAATAGCCTCACATCATTGTTTTTCCAGTCACCTCTAAATCCTCCAGCCTCCATCCATAAGCTGGAGGCCAAGCTCTACCTGCAAGCCAAGGGTCTGCTCCCAGTCCCCCAAGCCTTTCCCCATACTGTTTTCTCCTTCTTGACACATCACTGTCTTCCTCTCTGCATATCTGAATCTGACTGAGGCCTGTCCAAGACCTTACCATACTGTGAAGGCACAGGCTAGTCTGCAAGCCCAAGGGGATGCCCGGCACAGAGCTTGGTGCAGGACTGACTGAGCACCATGGCCATCTGCAGAGATGCCTACTGGAGGGGAAGGGGCAGGGGGCAGAGGAACTTTGCAGAGGAAAGGGAATCCCTACCTTGTTTTCAGCCTCACCCCCAGCCTGCACTCCCCCACCATCCCTGATGTTTGATGCCCCAAATATAGTGTTTTCCTGTTCTTGAAGAACCATGGACCTTTCTCATTAGCTAGCAGAGCTCCTCCAGGCCCTTCTCTGTGCTGAGTTCACACATCTCAGCCCCACCCAGGCCAGACCAACAGAAGCACACTGAAGTCCATTACGAACCATGGACACTTTCCTGTGCCAACCTTGTATAGAGGTCCAGGTCTTGTCCTTGATGAGCTCACAGACATGGGAACGGCATCAGATCAGTGCTCAGGGGGCTGCATGTGCTGGACAGCAGTGACTGCCTGAAGTGTGGGGCTGTGGGTCTGGCAGGGTCACATGCCATACAGTAGGAGGCAGTGGGCATAGAGAGAGCTGGTCCAGCCCTGGACTCAGGTACTGTGGGAGTCCATCCTGGCTGGTAAAGTGAGGCCTTCATGTCTGTACTGAGCTGGCTGCAGAGCCAGTTGTATTCTGGGTGTCAGGAGTCCTTGAGGATAGGGCCAGCACTGCTAGGGGATCAGGGAGCTCAAAAGAGATTAACCAGCAGGATTTGATAGGCAGAATAGGAGAAGGGCCCTGGTGAGGAAATGGAATGTACACAGGTGACCAGGGGGTACAGGTGGTTGACCATGAGGTCAATGCAGGAGTATAATGGGACAAGGGAGACAGGAAGCAGGAATGGATGAATGGATGTCCCAAAGATGGGTTGGCTCCCCAAAGTGGAAGGCCTGCTGTGGGGTACATCTCATTCCCCAAAGATTTGCAAATAGAGTAAAGGAATAAGTGGGGACTGGTGACACCTTTCATTCAAGGACATCTGTGGACACCTCTCATGAACCTGAAGAAATCACCTGGGCAGAGCAGGAACCAGCACAGGTGGCCACATATCCAGCAGCTATTGAGAAGACCCATCACAAGAAATTAGGATCGAGCAACCACATTGGGGGTTGAGGGGAGGTGTACACCACATGCTTGAAGAAGGTAAAATGGAGGTGACAGCTCCAGCCACTACATGTGCGTTCCAAGCAGCAGGAGGGAGGAAAGTAGGGAGAAGGGCAGAGAGTGCGGGGTAGTTACCTTTAAGGAGATTTCCTAGAAGCTGTAATATAGTATTTCTAGATCTTGTTGGCAGAATTTAGACACTTGGTAGCTCCTAGTTGTTAAGGAGACTGGGAAATGTAGCTTTAACTGGTAATTTCTGTGCCAAGCTAAGTACCAGGGGTCCTATGAATAAGGGGAGAAAGGAGGCCTGGCATGCAGCTAGGAATCTCTGCCACACAATGGCCATTTGTTTCCCAATACCATGCACTTTGTCTTCCCATGCATAGAGCACTCCCAGCCCTTCCCTGGGGCTGAGGGAGGCTAGTTTCCCTGCACCAGATCTTATCGCTATATCTAGCCCCAAGCTCAGGATCTTGGGAGATGTGCAGCCCTGTCCTGTGGGTCTTGATGTGGCTCCTTAGAATTTTGAACTTAATATTAAACTTTGATTTTAGTGGACTTTAAAAATTTTGGTGGACTTTCAACCAAAAGATAGGTTGTCTGTTCCCACACTCACTCAGTATGGGATGGTGGAGAAAGCACGGCACCAACACAAAAGAGACTTCAGTTTGGAAGAAGGGCAAACACTTCCAGCAGCAGCAGCCACTGGCATCTGTAATCAGGCCCCATCAGGAGATTTAAAAAAACAAAAAAACAAAACAAAAAAAAAAAACCTATGTTTGGTGGAAGAATCACAGGGTAGCCCCTCTGGCTGGCCTGACTCCACTTTCCAGGAATAACCTTGTGCTCAGTATCCTCTGTGGAGAAGTCAAGACCCCAGTGCTTAACTCCCCCTCCAGAGGAGCCATCCTTGTCTAAGTTCCTCCAGTGCCACTGTGGTGGTGGGGGGGAGCACTATTTGGGGGCCCGCATGGCTTTCAAAAAGCCCTTCCTGTAGGATAATGCCCAGCAGCCTGAGAATTTTTTAAAGCAAGCTGTAGGCCAGGCTTGGGGCTCCCAAGTGACATGTTTCTTGCACACCTAGTGGCTTTTAGTTTATTTGTCTTGATGAGTTAGTTCCACATGCCTGAAATGGCCCCAGATGATCATCCAGATGCAGGTTCAGGGGCAGCCTGGCCCTTCTGTCTATGATTCTGACTCCAAACCATGAACTGGAGAGAGGGGCAAGCAGAACCTTTCCTTCAGATTTTTGCATGAAATTATTGCCTAATTTTAAAACTTCAACCACTAATTTAAATGTTTGAAAATCATAGTTCAAGACAAATAAACATGCCTATGCATAGGTATGGCTCAAGGGTGCCCAAGTGGAGGATGAATTAGGGTCCCTCTGCAACGGGGGCTGAACTGAGGGTCCAAGTATATCTCTTTTTACCCTAATAGGGAGGACCAATGGTGCACACACTGGAGGTAGAACTGGCCACAGCTGAAGGCCAGGACTCTTGCAGAGACCACTAGGGTAGGATAAAGGTTCAGGACAGTCTAGCTGACTTCACTGCCCTCCTAAGGTTTTCAAGGCTGCCCTCAGTGTGTGGGCTCTGGAAGGGGGACCCCAGGCCTGGGGCAGGTGCTGAAGCCATGTTTGCCTGTCCTACAGACTCCACCAACCGGGACTCGCTGGACATGATCGAGCGCTGCATCTGCCTGGTGTGCCTGGATGCCCCAGGTGGTGGGGAACTCAGTGACACCAACAGGGCACTCCAGCTCCTTCATGGAGGAGGCTGCAGCAAGAATGGGGCAAACCGCTGGTATGACAAGTCCCTGCAGGTAAGTGTCCCCTTCTGCAGAGCCAAGTCCAGCACTGTCAGCCAGCACATGCATCCACTGGCTTCTGTACCCAGGGTGCTGGATTTGGTGGGGGTGGGGCAGCTGAAGGGTCCTGAGATGTGCTATTGCTGTCACCTCCAGGAGTAAGTAACTGAGCCCAGCTGAAAATCCCAGCCTCCTGCAGCTTGTGCCAGGAAGATCTGGGTCACACCTGGGTCTCATCCCCCACCCCCATCATACACTGTAAGGTGGGAACATAAAAGCTATGGGAGACTGCCACATTTCTACCAAATAAATCCCCAGCACATTGATCGAGAATCATGTCAGCTTTTCCTAATGGCTACCACCTGGTTTCAACATACCTTCCTTAATCCTTGAGAAATGGGGCAGCCTAGCATCCATGCAGAAGAAAAGTCCTCAAATGAAACCAAATAATTCATGTTTTCTCATTCACATGACATCATCCTAGAACACAATATGTACTTCCACCTAGAGGAAAACCCCCAGGCAGGTGAGGAAGAAGTGGAACTTAGGCCATTCATTCCTGTTCTCCATCTTTTCTTCCCTCAACTTACCATTCCCAGATCTGCTCGTGTTCAGTTTTAAAGCTACTATACTCAGTAAACCATTTTAAAAAGCAGGCAAACCATGGCTCCTCTTCGGCTTGGCATGGCTCAATTTGGTGAGCACTTCTTAGGAACACCTCGTTTTTCAATCTCTGTCCCTGTGTTATCCTTTTTGTTGGTTTGCGTTGTCAATTCTGTTGTTTCTGATGGGTTCTCCTGCCAGTGTGCTGGCTGTTTTAGCTGTCACAGTGTAGCTAACTGCTTGTGATCTTTCATGGAGCAGCTGTAGAATGAAATGATATAATGGATGCCCAGGATGAGGAACATAATAAGCCTTGGGAGCATCTTTTTTGTTTTGTTTTGTTTCAGTTCTGGGGATTGAACCCAGCAGGGGCATTTTACTGCTGAGCTACATCCCCAGCCCTTTTTTATTTTGAGATAGAATCTCGCTATCTTGCTGAGGCTGGTCTCGAACTCATAATCCTCTTGAGTAGCTAGCATTGCAGGCATGTTCCACCTCACCCAGCAATGAGCAGTTTTTAAAAGATACTGTTTTCCTCCCTTCCTTTGAGTGGCAGGGACAGAAGGCATTAATGTGGAGAGTCTGTGCTGGCCTCCAAGTGGCTTTCATAGGCAGGACAGCTTATCAGATGAGCCAGGAAGTCCAGAGAAGCTCCATCAATCTGAATTTGAGAAGATGAAGGATGAGTCTCGGCACAGAAAGGCAGGGAGTGGTAGGAGAAAGAAAGAGAAAAGTCAGCAAGGGATGTCTTTTGAGAGAAGTTCTGTGGGAAGTTAGTTAATTTTCTTTTCATTTGTAGAATAATAGTAAAGATTCCAGTATGTGGCATTCAATAGGAAAGACTGGAAAGAAGCCCTGGGGTGTGTGTGATATGTTCTGGTTCCCTGAAAGAGATTTCAAGAGCTTGTTGGCTTCCTTCCTTCCTTCCTTTCTTCTTTCCTTCCTTCCTTCCTTCCTTCCTTCCTTCCTTCCTTCCTTCCTTCCTTCCTTCCTTCTTTCCTTCCTCCCTCCCTCCCTCCCTCCCTCCCTCCCTCCCTCCCTTCCTCCCTCCCTCCCTCCCTCCCTCCCTTCCTCCCTCCCTCCCTTCCTTCCTTCCTTCCTTCCTTCCTTTCTGTAACAGGGATTGAACCCAGGCATTTAACCACTGAACCACACACCCCAGCCCTTTTTATGTATTTAATTTTGAGAAAGGATCTCACGAAGTTGCTGAGGCTGGCTTTGAATTTGCAGTCCTCCTGCTTCAGCTTTCTGAGCTGCTGAGATTATAGGTGTGCACTTTGGCACCCAGTGAGCTTTTATTTGTTTGTTTGTTCCATTAGGGATGAAGGACTTGTGTCTCCTCGGTGTGATGAACCACATGCCAGACCCACTTTGAGTTAAATTTTAAGAACCAAATTTTATCTCTCTTATCATCTCCTCCTATACCTTTTGCACTGATTATGGTCCTTTCACAAGTAAGATAAATATAGTTTTGTAAAGTCATTAAAAAAAAGTCAAGTAATCTTTATGGTGTCTATGGATCCTACTCCTTTTCTCTAATCTCATCTTAATCCTGGGAGCTGAGCCGAGCTGGGCTGAGCTGGGCCTATATTAAGTGAAGCAATCTGAAGTCCAAAGATCCAAAGCATCTTGCTGAAGCTCTCCCCACTCCCCTGGCAGCAGCAGAACTGAGAACCGGGTTCCTGGCAGCGAGGAGCAGAGCATCCTCAGTATACCTTGCCTTCACCCCTGTCAAGGGGTATTTTATTTCTCCCTAGGAATTTGCTTACTATCCAGATCAGATCATCATCTTCATTCATTTGTTCATTGCAATAACCCAGCACCTATTCTGGAGTGAACACGGGTCTAGATCCTGGGAATAAAATCAGTCGTGGCCAAAACAAACAGGGTTCATCAGGCAAATGATCACAGTAAAGATGGTGTCTGTGACGTGTGCAACGAAGGGGAAACGAGGCAGAGAAGGAGCTCCACGTGTGCTCACTAGGAACCCCTGGACTGCCTCATTCAGGGAACATGGGGGTCTCCTTTGCACTTAGCTTTTATGGTAAAGAGGTCGCGCAGTGTAGAGCTGTCTGAGACTCACATGCAGTGGCTCAGGGCACTGCAATCACATGCAACATTCTCTTTAGGAAATAAAGTACCTTGGAGGAGAGGTACCCCAAGACGCCAGGGGAACCCGACCTGGAGCCAAGGCTGGTATGAAAGGCTGACTCCCAGAGGCTCACCTCTCTCTTCCCTGTTGCAGTTTGTGGTGGGCCGAGATGGCACCTGTGGCGTGGTGTGTGAACACTCCCCATTTGATGGCATCGTTCTGGTGCAGTGCACAGAGCATCTGCTCAAACACATGTGAGTCCAGGGGCAGAACACAGGAAGATCACCCAGAGCTGCCACACCAGGCCAGGAAAAACTGGGGTGGCACCAGAGAGGGGCTCTGTGTCCATCTGGAAAATGGCTTAGTAAAAGATGTTTGGGGGGGAAAGCAGCTTAAATGTGGGCCAGATGGAAGTTGTAAACTGGACAAGAGATGTAGGGCCAGCAGGGAGAGGTGGGCAAAGAATTGTCAGGAACATCTGCTTTAGTCCAGGAAGCTCAGACCAATACCTGCTGTTTGTCCTGAGTCAGGACTGGGCCAACTACTGACCCACACAGAGGGAGGTCTCTGAGTGACAACTATTCCCTCCCCAGCCTGGGTCTTCCCCAGCCTCTGAACTCTGCTTCTCTATTCCTTCAACACACTGCATTTTTTCTTCCTTTTAGTTTTGATCATTTTCTTCTAGCACCTTCTCCCTGGTTCTAAATTCTCAATCTCTTTCACAGAACTCTTTGGGATCACTAAAACCCAAACCAATCCTTGAAAATAGAACAACAGCTTGCTCCTATATTTCTCTCCAAGTCTTATGTAAATCTTATTGGTATAACATGACCGACAGGAAAAAAATAAAAATAATGTGTTTTGTAGTCAGGCAGAACTGAATAGAATCATGCTCTGCCTCTTACAAATTTTGGTGGTCTCTCTGAGCCTCAGTTTATTCATCTGTACAGTGGTTTGTTACAGAGCGAGGACCTGCCACAGAACCAAGGAGCCAAGGCAGCCATAGCAGTCTTCTCTCATGAATTGTTGCCATCATACCAGAAAAATTTCAGACATGACACTTAATGTAGTAGACATGAGTTTATTAGAAAGATTAGGAAAAAAGAAAAGGGGACACTCTCAAGGGAAAGAGTGGGTCCTCTCAGAGATGAGAAGGAAGTTCATACCCACTCTTGCCCTTCAGTTTTAATGGGGGTCCCAGAGATGTTTCTAGAAAGTCCTACCCAGGTCTATCCCTTGACTTTTGACTGACAGCAGGATTGCCTCAAACTTCCAAGTCCCCACTGAGCATGGTTAACAGTCCAGGGCAACTCTAGGTTGCTTTGGTCCACGTTGACTGGTTCTAATTAGAACTTGTTCTTATAGATTTTATGGTTGGGAGAATTATCCTTATCTCCCTGAGTTCCCTATTTAAGGGTCACAAAATTCCCCCCTCTAAGATAACTTGTGTTCCTCTTATTGGCTTTTTGGGCCTGCATTTCTTTTGCAGATAACAGGTTGTTTGCTGGGGAATGTAACATGCTTCTGACTTAAGACTGGCAGGCTGCAGGTAAATTGGTTTTTAACAGAAAGCATATGGGGGTCAGCACAGTAGGCCCAGTTTATTAGATTATCCCCTTAACTTCAAGCTCCCACCACTCATAGCTATCTGTTACCTATCAGTTCGGGGCAGCTTATACCCTCTGAAACTCCAAGGCTGCACCAACCAATAGTTAAGATGATTGCAGTGGCAGAGGAACAATGCTGTCCTGCAGCCCTCCAAGCCTCAGGAGGTGGTCCCTTTGTGCTCACAGGATGAAGAACAGCAAGAAGCTGGTCCGAGCAGACTCTGTCAGTGAGCTCCCAGCTCCCAGGAGGCTGAGGTGGAAATGTTCTCCAGAAATTCAAGGCCACCTAGCCTCCTCGGCTGAAAAACTTCAACGGTAAGAGAAACTCAAAGTCTCCTCCAGGGTCATCCTCCAGGGGCTGCCTGGAGTTGCCCCTCCCCCAGCTGCTGATGCACCCTGGAAGTTTCCAAAGACCCCAGCAACTCGGCCTCCCCTCCAGGGCCCACCCCACCCCCACCCCTCATGGAAATGTAGTCAAACTAAAAGGGAGTTATAACTCTCAGGAAATAACCTTGCTGAAGTATCTGTCATTTCCATAAAATGCAAACGTGGAGCTATTTTTTTCTGCAGGTTTCACCTGACTGAGCAGAGTCAAGGCCAGGAAATCATCCCCTGCTTTGGGAGAGTAATAAACAACTGGTTTGAATAGGTCATTTGAATCCAAGCTATTCAATTTGCTTGAGTTTACACTGCAACTTGACAAGGGGGGCCTTTCTCCCTGAGGGGAGAGGGTGGTTCAGGCCCTAACGGGACCCAGGCAGGAGGGAGCCAAGAAGGAGGGCCAGGGACAGCTGTGAGCCCTTCTGGGTAGGCTTTGGCCAAGGACAGTTGTAATGTGTGGTGGGAGCTGGGGACTGGCAACCATATCTGGACAACTGTAGTTGTTCATTTCTTCATTCAGTAAGTGAGTATGAATGTAGGAATTCATTCATCAACTCACTTATTCATCAAACATGTGCAAAGCTCTAGTTTGAGCCAGAACTGTGGCAATGCTTGGGAACACAGAAATTAATGTGCCATGAAGCCTATCCTCCATAATTTTAGTGGAGGAAGCAGATTCCAGGACCAAATGTGTGAAGTAGGAAGATAAGTGCCCAGATGAAAGAGAGGCATATAGACCTGAACCCACAGAGAGATAGAAATTGAACGGTGCCTGGACAGTGAGCAAGGGCTTTGCAGAAGTGGGCCTTCAAGGATGAATAGGAGTTCCAGGGGCAGGTAGATGGGGAAGAGGTAGAAAGGAAGACTGTTCAAGCTTGTACCAGTTCTTAAATATCCAGGCTGGTCTGGAGATCAGCAAAGGCAGAATGGCCAGAATTAGGGCACAGAAGGGAAAGTGGGGCCATACTGTGGAGAACTGCACTGTCCTCATATTATGGGCTCTGGAGCTTGCCCTGCTGGAGGTGATAAGCCCCTGGAGGAACTTGTGTGGAGAAACTTGCAGGAGCCAGGAAGGAGACTGTGGGGATAGCACAGATGATAAGGACAGGGTATGGTCAGGCTGGGAGGCCCAAAGATGGAGATGATTGTTTTACTGAGAGCTGCTGTGGAGGCTGCTTAGCTTTAGCAGGGCAGAGCAGAGGTCTCAGGATTTCTATAGAATGATCCTGACATCTCAATTTCACAGGGTGGTTTCGGGGGATAAGTGGGCTGCCAGAGGAATAAGTTGGTGGGCCTATGAGTCCTGGGGGAAGAAGGAGCCTGCTCACTTTCAGGTCCCCAAGCAGGCCCATGTGCTCGCAAGGCCCCTGGCTCCTCTTTCTGGAGACCAAGGTAAGGTCTGTGGGTGGGGAATCAGGAGGATCCCTGGGGGTCCTGAGCAGCCCCTGGAAGGGGGATGAGGTTTGAATGGGCAGAGCCCTGGGGAGGAGGTTTCCAAGTGGCTATGGTGACAGAGCTCAGTCTGTCCAAAGAGTTTGTCAAAGGCCAGGCTGAGGGGCAAATACTGAGGAAACTGGGTCCCCTCTAAATCTGTTTGTGTCCCCAGCACCTGATGGAGCCCCTTGAGAGCTGAGCTCCTGTGAGGCAGGGATAATTCAAGGAGGCCCAAGAGAGCACACTAAGGCCCAAGGGAGGGTTTGAGCAGGGGTTGGGCGGCATTCCCAGCGCTTTGTGCTCAGGCAAGAATAGGGGTAGAAGGTGTGGACCTTGCTCCTTTGGGCAGTCTGAAAGAGGAGACTGGTTTATTTAAGGGTGGCTGGAGCTTAAGATTCTCATGTAGACTTAGGGAAGTTTCCTATTACTCTGATAAAGACCCAGGCATATCATGGATAAACCAGGTTTTCAGCCACTGTTAAAGCTCCAGATGAGTAACCCTTACTAAGGTGACTGTGACAAGCAGTCAGGCAGGCTGCAGGACCTTCTTCCCTACAGGACACTGAGGATGAGTCTTGGTGAGGTAACGCTGCTGGCAGCCAGTTAAGAAATGAGCTCTGCTAGGGTAGCCAGAGATGAGTCCACAGTGATGTTAGCCACACCTTCTTACTTGGGTCAAATGAATGGCCTCTGTAGGCCTACTTTGTGGGCAGCAGGCTGCTAGGATTTGGTTTGTGGGCAGTGCTGGCCCTGCCTATGCAAATATCGCTAATTCCCCATGCTTCTCCCTGCCTTGTTATGCAGCTAGGACCATGTCCCTGCCAGAGCAGAGCCACCCCCTGTCCAGCTGAGCTCATCTGCCCAGGACAGCCCTGGTCCTGCACACTTATATAGGTCAAGGCATGTCTCTGACACCCCAGCATATTCCTGGTGGACAGGGACTGTGTCCTCATCTTCTGGAGGACTAAGATGTGAGCCAGGAGTGAGAAACTTGGGTGGGCTCTGTGGTATATGCATTTTATTTTAACATGCAATAAAAGTATCTTTTCTTTCCTACAGAATAGTAAAGAATCTTGACTTCATTGTCTATAAGTTTGACAACTATGGGAAAACATTCATTAAGAAGCAGAAATGCAGCCCTGATGCCTTCATCCAGGTGGCCCTACAGCTGGCCTTCTACAGGTGAGCAAAGATGAGATGGACCTGAGTCCGAGTGAGTTGATGGACAAGGTGCTTCTGGAGTCTAGAGGGAGAGCTGGCTTTCTGGGGGCCCAGTGGGCTGGGGATGACCAAAGCAAGCTGCATAGAGGAAGTGCCACTGAACTGGGTTTTGAGTAAAAATCCAACCTCAAGAAAGAAAAAGAAGGGTGTCTCAGTCGGGGAACTGCCTGAGCCATGGCACAGAGCTCAAAGGGCCTGGCATGCAGAGCTAAGGAGAGCCAGGCAGGTGAGGAGGACCACAAAGTTATGGATGCTGCTCTGCATCTCGACTTTACCCAGCCCACCTGAGTTCCTGTGGGGGCAATCTGCTCCTCCCCAGTTCCCCAACCTTGATAAAGAAATGAGACCAACAGTCCCCTAGTTGGTCCTGTCAAGGATTTGGAACTAATTCTTGATTCTACCTTTTCTCTCACCCCCACCCCCCACCCTGCCACTTCTCCATGTCAGTTCTCCAAATGTCTCTCAAGCCCATTCTCTGCCCTCCACTGCCACTGCCATCAGCCCCTCCCAAGCTAATTTTATCCCTGGCTTAACCCACTGCAGCACACTCCCTAGGGCTCTCTGTTCCCCCTCTTGTCCCCTGTAACCCCCACTTCATGAAATATGAACTATGAAATCTGCAAACCAGACTTCATCCCTTACCCCCTTGAAACTTCCTGGTGGCTTCCCACCATGCTTCAGACCCTCCTGCAAGCTCTCTTCTAGTTCTAGAACTTTGCCCTGCCTATGCCTCTGCCCTCCCACCCCAGTCACCTCCAGCCCAAGTGTCAGCCCTCAGAGGTCTGTCTGGACTCTCTTACCTGAAGTAGCCACCCTGGGCTCTCCCTTGCCACCCAGTTCTGTCATACCTCATTGTCCCCTCAAAAGTCCACCCAGTGCAGGAGGGCTAAGATACAGGGGCATGACTTGCTGTGTGACTCTGGGTGATCCCTATCCCTTTCTGAGCTCTGTATCTTTTTTGCTCTCTCACCCTCAACACTAAGGATTTTATTGACTGGTAGGAAAGGGGGTGTGCCAGCCAAGCTGCAAACCTGAGGATCCTTACCTTGTTCTCACACACAAGGAAAGAAGTGTCCCTTGATTGTCGTGGGGAGTAGCTACTGTTATTCTGGCCACTATCATGAGCTCTGCTGGGATAACCAGGTTGTCAAAATAATCCATACAGATGCCAGACACACCTTCCTACGCGGGTCAAGTGAACGACCTCTTTCAGGTCTGCTTTGTGAAGAAAGGAGAGGCACAGCCATGAAAGGGTGACCTGGGCAGCAGTTTACACTCAACATCACTAAAACCCCTCCCTGCCTTAATGCAGAGGCCATGGCTGAATTGTTTTAAATAAAATAGGATTCCCTCCTGGGTGTAAATGATTAATGGTGCAATTATTCCATTCTGTGCTATTAATCACTCACTCATCAGGTCTCACTAGAAATTCCAGGTTTTCCAACAGATTGGGAATTCTTTTAAAAGCAACCAGTCATCTCTTATTTTATATCAACACAGCATTTCCAATGTATAAAAATGTACACAGCTCTTCCTATTAGAGACCCCCTAGCATTCATCTTCGGGAATTCTCCTCTAGAATTCTATTAACATTAAAATGAAATACTATGCCAAGTCAAGTCAGGACTGTAAAAATAAAGCCTGCCAAGGCTATTTTTCTTTCAGTGTTTATGATTCCTTGAGAATAAATTACCATTTGCCATTCATCCTTTATCTTCTGCAGGCTCCACCAGAGACTGGTGCCCACTTATGAGAGTGCATCCATTCGCCGATTCCGGGAGGGGCGAGTGGACAACATCAGATCTGCCACCCCACAGGCATTGACTTTTGTGAGAGCCATGACTGACCACAAGGCTGCCATTCCAGTAAGTCCCATACCATCCTAAGGAGATACAAGGAGACATTGAGGCCACTGTGAGCTGTCCATCCGCTGGGCTCCTGGACATCAGCTCCTTAAAGCCTTGTGTGCTGACCCTCTGCTCTGTTGACAGGCTTCCGAGAAACTGCTGCTTTTAAAGGATGCCATTCGAGCCCAGACTGAGTACACAGTCATGGTGAGTGATGTTGTGCCTCCTCGTGACCACAGTCTGTGCCCAGAGCCAGAGCTTGCCAGGATTGGGGCTGTGGCACAAGACCCTGGGTGAGAACAGCATCTCCAACTGCCAGTGGTTTGGCCACCTCCCTCTCAGAGTCTTCTTTTCTTGTTTTTAGAACATAGAGAGCACCCTGTTCCTTATTTTCCTCAGATTTTATAAGAGTATTGGGAGTCCTTTGAAACAACCATAATGTTAATAATAACATATAATACACATAGAACTTTACAGTTTATACAAAAGAGGTCAAATGTGAGGGAACGGGGTTCTGGGCTGACAAATGGAAGCAGCTTGTGTACCTTTCACAATTGTACTTGCATTTGCGAGGGAGGCAGTATTTATTCCCACCTAGGTTTGATTTTTGCTTTTAATTTCCATGTGTTTATTTATGCTACCCGCACTGAAAATTAATCATGAATTCAAACTGTAAGGGAAGGGTGGGGGTTGTGGCTCAGAGGTAAAGTGCTCTCCTACCATGCATGAGGCACTGGGTTCAATCCTCAGCACCACATAAAAATAAAATAAAGATATTTTGTCCACCTATAACTAAAAAATTAATATTAAAAAAAACTGTAAGGGGGCCTTTTCCCTGGTTTAGGGAAATAATTTATTTTCTGGCACTGCAAAGACATCACTTGCATGCAAACAATAGAGAATAAGCATCTGCTTGGGCTGATAATCAATATATTGATAGAAAATCATTCCAATACAGTCTTTGAAGGATAATATGAAAAGTTTTGATCAAATTTTACTCTATATATTTGAAAGCAACTATAATACATTTCTGAGGGTTTTTTTGGGGTGGGGGGTGTACTGGGGATTGAATGCAGGGGCACTTGACCATTGAGCTACATCCCCAGCCCTATTTTGTATTTTATTTAGAGACAGGGTCTCACTGAGTTGCTTAGCACTTAGCTTTTGCTGAGGCTGGCTTTGAACTTGTGATCCTCCTGCCTCAGCCTCCTGAGTCACTGGGATTACAGGTGTGTACCACCGTACCTGGCTCTGGATTTTTAGCAACTTCTTCTCAGTTGCTATGTCCCTTTTATCTGAAGAGTTATGTTTGTTCTGTAGGGGAAAAATTAAATACTCTGCTAGTCAGCTTTCCATTATTATAACAAAATGCCCAAGATTATAAACATAGGAAGAGAAAATATTTGCTTAGGCTCACAGTTTCAGAGGTTTCAGTCCATGGTCAGTTGGCCCCATGACTTTCAGGCCTTTGGTGACAGCACATCATGATGGGAGCCCATAGTGGGGCAAAGCCATTCACCTCATGGTGGAATGCAAAAGAGAAAGAGGAGGAGGAGGAGGGGTTGGGTTCTCACTATCCCTGGTAAGGGCACACACCCCTTCCTCAGTGACCAGAAGACCTCACATGAAGCCCACCTCTTAAAATTTCCACCATCCAATAGTGCCAACCTATGGACTAAGCCTTTAACACAAGCCTTTGAGAGACATTTCAGATTCAAATTACAGCAAGTTTATATTCTGTATTCAGTGGATATTTTGTTGTTGTTGTTGTTGTTGTTGTTGTATTTTCCTGCTATAAGCCAGGAGAAGTGTTAGGTACTAAAAAAACAAAACAAAAATGAAGCCTATAAACCCTATCCTTGGGGAGCTTAGTATATAGTTGGAGGAGAGGCTGTTCAAAGTCAAGTCCAATCCTTTGTGAAAAGAGCACTCAGGAGGAAATAGCAAACATGGAGAAGGAAGCTCTTTCCTCTGCTTGGAAAATCCAAAAAAGACTTTCCAGAAGAAGTGGTGCTTCACATGAGACTTGAAGGATGAAGAGAGGAGAGGCTAACCCAAGAAGGGAACATCAGGTGCAAAGGCAAAGAGTCTTGGGAGAATAAGATACATTTGATTAAAAGTAGCTCTGTGTGTACAGCTGACAAAGGACAGAGGAGCAGGAGATGTTGGATTTCCTGTTAAAAGCTTACCCCAGTATGGAGTATACAAAGGACCAGTGGGATTGGTAGGTGGTGTGCCAACCAGCAGAAATGCTGATTAGGAAGCTCTATGACACCGAAGGAGAATTGATTAAGGGCTTCCATTGGGCAACGTGGGGAGGGGTTAAAGAAGACAACACAAACTTTTGATTTAACATGCCAAACTGAACACAAGGGTTTAAGGCACTCACTCTGAAACTCTCTAAAAAGACAGGAATTTTTTGACCCATAAATACAGTAGGGCAAAGAGAATGGGAAAGAAGGTGACATCATAGTGTCCAAGCTAGAAATAGAACAGCTAGCAACTGACTTAGCAAACAGCAAGAGAATCCAGGGTCCCCAATTAACTGCACTGCAGAGCCTTGGGGTGTCTCAGGCATTGTGGACACTCACCAAAACAGGGTGGATATGGGGGTTGAAAAGAAGAGGGCTGTTGATTTGTTAGTGTTAACTGCTATAACTGAATACCTGAGACTGGATAACAGAGACAATGTGGTTTAGGTGCCCTCTCATGAACTCTTTTATCACCTTATACTTTTCCTTCCCATCTCTTTCCTCATTTATGATGATATGTTTTTTGTTGGTTGGTGGCTCCCTGTCCCCCAACCCCCACTACACCGTAAGCTCTATGAGGGCTCCGACTTTGACTCCTCTGTTCTCCATTGTTGCTCAGTACCTCGCAGTACCAGGCATATGGTGGGCACTGAAAGTTTCCCTAAATGAGTCGTTTTACTCATAACTATTCATGGCTCTAATCTAAACATCCTGTTAACTCAGCTCTTGCTGCAGTTGATACAGAGTTGGTGAAACAGAGGTAGATCAGCTGCTCTAGAAAGCGGCTGCTTTTTTTGGACCAACACAAATCAGAGCTTAAATAGAGGTAGCCTGAGAAATGAAAAGAGCCATCTCCTTTATGGACAGGCTCATAGCTCTTCCTGTCTGTCCTAATGGAGCACATCTAAGGTGAGATGGGGGAATGGGGGTGTCGCTCAGTGGTAGAGTGCTTGCCTAGCATGCATGAGGTCCTGGGTTTAATCCCCAGCACTGCAAAACAAACAAACAAGTAAATAAATAAATAAATAAAACATATAAAGTGAGCTGGTTGTATACCTTGTCTTTTCAGACTGTTAACTAGGTGCCTTTAGAGAGCCTGGGGCCTCTGAAGATTATGAATCTAGATTAAGTGAATTGATCTGGAGCCCACAAAGTGGCCAAGATTTAGCAAAAGACCTTATGCATCATCTTTATGCATTCATTCTCAACTGAAAGAGAATAGCTGTCAAATCCCAAAAACGTGCTTTGTAAACCTAAGCAAAGTTTACAGGGAAGGAAGTTTTCCCCCTGTGACAGGCTATAGCAGGAAATGGCCAATTTATGAACTATGAAACCCCCAAATTTACATTTACCCTGAAGTTAATCTGAAGTTCACTGCTATAGGGATGGGATAGCCCTCCTTGCAAGTCTCCACAGTCCCCCAATTGCCCCCAGATAAACATGTAATAATAATAATAATAAATAATAATAATAATAATAATAATAATAACAGTATGCAAATAAAGTAAGGCCAGAACTAGTGCCCTGGTCCCACTTCCAGACACACCATCCCTCTGAGTCCCTCCTGCATTAAAATTCTGAAGCCCTAGCTCTATAGCCTATGATTTGATAAGAGTTTATCTTTGTAATTTTTTTAAAAAAAAAAGAGAGAGAGAAAATATCTCATTATTCAAGTAGCTCTTTCTCCTTGAAAATGTCAGCAGAGCCTCTGCTAAGTTATCTAGCTCCTGACTCAAAATGATTTCTTAGATTACGAATCTAGATAAAGTGAATTGATCTGGGGCCCACAAAGTGGCGAAGATTTCAGCAACAGACCTTTTGCTCTCTGGCCTGCCTTCCTTAGTCTCCTGCTAAAGGATGAAGCATTGATTGTGATCAGAGAGTCCCCCCACCACGACAATCAGAGACACCCTTCCCAATGCTTGAATGGGGCTCAGCAGTCCCTGGACCCAGCACACAACCTTCTCCCCAAACTCCCTCCCAGGTCTGAGCAGGTTGGTACTTGGGTTGGCCAGGTTAACCTCACTCCTCCATTAGAGCACCATGTGGATGTGGGTGTATAGTGGATGCTTGATGACCTTTAACTCAGACATCCTCAGGGTACAGTCCAACCTACTCTGGACTCATCCTGTACCTGCAGAAATGCACCGGGCCCAAGGGGCAGAGGTAAAGTGGTGATACTAAGTGGCCACTCATATACTTTGGCTGCAGCAAGCACTGGGTAAGCATGAGCCATGACTGTTGGAGTCACCATTAGTGTTGTGGAGTAGAGAGGAAGGGAAAAGGATGCATAGAGGAGCCCATGTCCCATCTCTTGTTCTTTGTCCCCAACCACCCAGGCCATAACAGGAATGGCCATCGACAACCACCTGCTAGCACTGCGGGAGCTGGCCCGGGATCTGTACAAGGAGCCACCTGAGATGTTTACAGATGAGACATATCTGATGAGCAACCGATTTGTCCTCTCCACTAGCCAGGTACAGCCCCTGTATACACAGTCATGACTCAAGAGAACCCAGAGTGTAAGCAGTGAGCTTTCTAGAGGGCTCAGTAGTTGAGAGCCCACTGGCTAGAGTCAGGCAAGTTCTGACTCTACCTCTGCCTCTTTCAAAATTTTTTTAAAATTTTAATTGACACATAGTAGTTATGCATATTTACAGGGTACAGTGTGATATTGCAGTACTTATATACAATATGTAATGGTCAGATCAGGATAATTAACATATCTATCACCTCAGACATTTATCATTTCTTTGTGTTGGGAACATTGAAAACCTTCTTTACTATCCATTTTGAAATATTTCATTAATTGTTGTCAACCATCTACCCTACTGTGCCATAGAACATTAGAACTGATTACTCCTATCTAACCACCCCCTCACCCCATACCCATTAACCATTCTCTCCATCCCTCCCTCCTCTGCCTGTCTCTGCTTCTTACAAGTTATGTCACCTTTGGCAAAATAATCTAAAAGTTCAGAGTACTGGTTTGCCATCTCCTAAATGAGAATAACCACAAACTCCATTTTAGCCAAGGTAGACACAGACCCATGCCGGTACTCTAACCATTATGCGGCACTGCCTTCAACCTGAGAGGTAGTGTCCCACCATGGGGACCAAAGACTTTGAAGCCCAACAGGCTTAAATGGGCCCTCCACACAAGTCACAGGCATTGTTATAAAGGGTCATGCCACCAATAGCAGAAGGTGAGTGGCCAGCCCAATATTTTCTAATCCGTGCTACAGACAGGCCCCTTCTGTTGGAGGACCACTGTCACAGAGACAGAATGAAATCCATTAGCGGGAGGCAGCAGTCGAGGGGAGGAATACCCCCACACTCGTCAATTTACTAAAACTCCACCTCATCTGTGAACGGCTGGACATGGGCAATAAAAGGGGCTGATAAAGCTGTGTTTGAGGATAAAAGCCCACTCAGTAATTTGATTTTGTCATTACGGCAGTGAGCTTGCCGACATGAATAAACGAGGACAGAACATAACAACATAAATTCTTCAGGAAACCATCCATGGGCAAAAAGTGCTTTGGAATGGCTTTATGGCCTTCGGCTATTGCACGGCAAATTTATCTGACAATGCGGTGACTCTATTAGTAAGACTAATGGTTTGTTCTGCCCCATTAAAATGGCCAGTATCGCTAAAGAAGGGCAGAGAACATAGCACCAGAACTCAGCACCAGAAACCTGTTAGGTTTAAAAACAAACCCTGTCCCACACCTAGGGACAGCTAATTTAATTAATTAATCAGGGTGTGGGTTTTTTGATGGTTGTTTTTCCCACTGGAAAGTAGCATTCATGACTTGAATGCCTTCTGAAACACACTTACTGTGTTTATGATCCAGATTACAAAATCTTAGCACTCTGACTTTAAAACATATCAGGCACAAAACTAAAACTCCAGCTGATGGCAACCTTTTAAAAGCCCGATCCTGGGTAATTGTGCATGGCCAGGCTGTGGAGAGAAAAATCAGACCAGCCAGGCAATACTGACAGTAATTAAGGATTGGGGGAAATCAACAGAGAAGATGGGCCAGATTTCCTCCAGTTCATAAATTACTCCCTGTGGGAAGCCATCTAACAGTTGGGTGCCACCAGGGTGCCATTTAGTAAATTACCCTGATTGCCACTGTGCCTCAAATGGCCCCCAGGTGAAGAAGAGACTCAGCCCAAGCCCCAGCACCAGGTCACCCTGGGAGCTTCCAATTCCACAAGTAGAGCAGATTGTACACTGGGGAGTGGGCTTGGGGTCCCTCTCCCTCTGAAATCATGCAGTTAGATGCATTTGTTTTTATGACTCTGGCTGTGTCCACCCATGCTGAAGCAATCAGTTGATTTGGTTAATTCAGTCAAACCCCAGGAGTGGAAAATATGGACGCAAATACTCAGCAGAGGCCCCGGGATATTGGAACGCCCCACATTCTAGCAGGTTCACAGGTTGCATTTCAGAACAAGCTGCTGCTGACCTGATCTCTTCTTCAGGTGCCCACAACCATGGAAATGTTTTGCTGCTATGGTCCTGTGGTCCCCAATGGCTACGGTGCCTGCTACAACCCTCAGCCTGAGACCATCCTCTTCTGCATCTCCAGTTTTCACAACTGCAAGGAAACCTCTTCTACAGAGTTTGCAAAAGCTGTGGGAGCAAGCCTTACCGACATGAGAGACCTCTGCAGTTCGCTGCAGCCAGCTGACGGCAAGTCATTGGCAACAAAGGAAAAAGCCATGAGGCCCAGCCAGGGGCACCAGCCTTGACTCCTGCCACTCGGTTTCAGCTCCTTGAGCCCAGCCTTCTGAGGCTGCTAGACCCTGCCAAATCCCTGCTCCCATCCCTCACTCCAGCTTTCTGTAGCTCCCCTCTCCTCAGGACCCAACCCACAGGTCACCTAGAGGCATCACACAAGGCTGCAGTGTTAGCAAGAAAGGGTCCCTCGTTATGCATGGGAATCATCACTATTCATCAAGGTGCCCTCTGGTCTGTGCACTGGGAAGGGAAACCAGACTGGCTTGAAGGTGGCCTGGAGGTAGGAGATCCCCATCAAGGTCTTCCTTCCATAGTCCTCAGAAGCTTAATGCTCATGTGTCCCTCCCCAGCAGGACGTAGCGTGCCCAGGTAATGTTTCTGCCCAAGAAATAATGAGTCACTCAGTTACATGCAGTGTACCCAAATGAAGCATGAAGGCAGAGGCTAGCTCTGGGTTATTACCCCTTTTCTTTGGGGGAGGGACAGGGGGCTTTGTTTTCAGATTTAAAGTATCAGACCTTGGCATTCACAGCATCTCCATTGAGCCATACAGTCCTGCAAGGCCTGCTCTACCCTCTACACACACACACACACACACACACACCACACACCACACCCCAAGTTCATAAAATACAGTGACCTATGTCCCAAACACATTTCTCCTTTCACTCCCTGGGAGAAACCTTCTGTTGCATTCAAAAAATCTTATCCAGCTATTCAGAAAGAAAAAAAATTTGTCTCCCTTGACCCTGTGACTTGTGACTCTTCAGCTTTTCAGGCAGCATCAGGGACGGTTCAAAGTGAGCAAACCATGTGGCCCTGAGCAGGCAGAGTGGACATGTGGAGGACAGGTTCACTTCCTAAGGTCATGCCTTTTGCAGTTTTTTTTTTCTATTTGTTTCACCCCTGCTTCACACTAAACAGGCCCAGTGTGTGATTGGTGCCAATAGGTGGAGGCCAAAGAGAGTTGCTTTAGGTTTTTCTATTGTTGTTATTATTTTATTATTTATCTTTTGTTTAAAACTTTTTATTTAAAAACATATTTTTGTGGTACTGGGGATTGAACCTAGGGGGGTTGCTCTACTACTGAGCTCATCCCCAGTCTTTTAAAATTTGTATTTATTTTGAAATAGGGTTTCTCTAGCCTGCCAAGGCTGGCCTTGAACTCGTAATTCTCCTGCCTCAGCCTCTCAAAAGAGTTCCTGGGATTATAGGCATGTGCCACTGCACCTTACTCTTTTTTGTTTGTTTTCAAGAGAGTTTTTTTAAGAAAACCATTCTGTCCAGGCATGGCAGTGCATACCTATAATCCCAGCAATGTGGGAGGCTGAGGCAAGAGGATCAAAAATTTGAGGCCAGCTTTGGCAACTTAGTGAAACCCTATCTCAAAATAAAAAAAAATAAAAAGGACAGGATGTAGCTTAGTGGTAAAATGTCCCTGGGTTTAACCCCCAGTACCAAAAAGGGAGGTAGAGAAGGAGAGGGGGTGGATGAAAAGAAAAAGAAAATCAGATTGACATTAATTTCAGAAATGACCTCCATGGCTCAAGCATGATACCCTTAAGTGTCTGGGCTTCTTTATTTGGAAGATTCCCCTTCAGGGATTCTGAAGGAGCCCAATACAAGGCTCTCCTCTGGCCTCTGGGGCCTGAGGGGACAGCTGACAGAGAGCCAGACAGGGAGGTGAGATTACGATTGTCCTGCAGGGCTGTGACTGTACAGGAGGTGTGAGAGGCACCTTAAAATTCTTTAAGTTACAGATAATAATTGTACTTACTATGAGATGCAATGTGATGTTTCAATACACGTATACACTATGTGATGATCAAATAGGGTAATTAGCAGATCTAACACCTCCAGCACCTATCACGCCTTTGCGGTACGAACATTCCAAATCCCCTCTTCTAGATTTGAAGTAAACCACGCAGTGCTATGGACTCCAGTCATCTTCCTGTGCAACAGGACACCAGAACTCACCCCTCTGTCTGACCATAACCCTGTACCTGGTGACCCGCCTCTGCTCTTTCCTTCTCCCACCCTCCTCTATGTCTAGGAACCATCATTCTACTCTCAGCTTCTGTAAATCAGATCAATTTTTTTAGTTGGAAGTCTAAATGGCAGAGGACGCAGAATGGGAAAGTAAAACATCTAAAGTACAAGGAGCAGGCAGAGCCCACCCCCTACTATGCTGTTGTGCCCTCCTGTAGAGTTCCTAGAAAAGCCCCCTCCCCAATCCTGGTGAGCTCTGTGTCATTCTAAGCGCTCCATCCACTCTGACCCAGGGATACTACAAGAGTCCCTTCTCTGTGCCACTGTGAAAGCTGTCTGCACCTGGCTTTGGGTTGCCACAGGTGGGCTAAGGTGGGGCAGGCATTTGACCTTGCTTAGCTATTTGAGAACACAAGCAACCCAAAGGAGAGGAGTCCTTGAGACCCTGGTTTTAGGAGGAAGAGCTCCTATTGGATGATGGGGGAGATTTGGCCACTGGCTTCTAACATTTAAACTTAAGCCACTGGTCTGTAGATCCCTGTGGCTTCCCCTGATGCCTACCTTCCAGTTTCTCTTGGCAACTCGCAGCCCAAAGACTCCTGGGGTTTCTGGGGACCTGCAGTCTACCTTCTGAATGCTAGCCACCTGTCTGATCTCACTCAGTGACCTCAGTGCCAGATCTGAGTTCTCTTCCAGTTTCCCTCAGTGGATTTTTCTGCAGACAAAATTCTCTGACAGTAGGGTCAGGCAGCCACACTGAACATGGCCAAGTGATTTAAATGCCCAGAGACTTAATTCCCTCCATTGTCAAATGAGAACAACAGTCTCCCCATCTTGCCAGGCTCTGAGGGATGGAGACCACGTGCGCAAAGGTCTCGTGTGGCAGGTGGACAGTAACGCCCACCTTCAGAATGGCTTTCCCCAGCAGGCATTGTTCACACTGCTCAGACAGAATCAAGTTCATAGCTGCTGTTCTCTGAATATAGGGAAAGGGAACTCACTCTGTATATTCAGATATTAAACCATTCACTGTGAGGGTTTGAGAATCATAGGTGACAGATACTTGGCTGGAGGGAACACCTCTTCTTTCTGAGGAAGGGGCTGGAAGCTGGTCTTCCCCCTCCAAGAACAGATGGGTCCACTACGTCTTTATGCAAAGGCAACACTGAGCCATGGCCAAGGGCATTTCTGTGGGGACTCTGGGAAAGGAGATTGTTCCATGTGTCCCCAAAGAGATGGAAAATGAGACAGTCATTTGGAACAATGATGCATAATAAATGTGGCCACCTTACAATACTGCTAAGTTGCCAAAATATATAAAGTTAATATTTGAGTTCTATTTTTATAAAATAGTTATAGATTTATGGCAATATGTACATGTGTATTTATAGCCTTTCCATCTTAATTTATAGTTTTGTGCTTTAAAGAAATATATGTATGATTAAAGGACTGTATATTGAAAGCATTCTATTCAACTTATTTAAAAGACCGTAACTCTGTATTCAATAAAACCTAATGCCAAGAAAGATGTCACCGGTCATTGTATCTACTGACAAATGCTATAAAATATAATGCTGTAAATTCTGTGAACTGGATCAACAATTCTTTGGCCTTTGTCTGTATTTTGCCAGCAATAGTGGCAGATGTCTAAAAGATATAGGGAAGTTGGATGCAGTGGTACACACTTGTAGTCACAGATACTTGGGAGGCTGAGGCAGGAGTATCTCTGCCTGTATTGAGGCCAATCTGGCACTGTATTGAGAACTAATCTCTTAAAAAAAAACAATAAAATAAAAATAAAAGCTATAGGGGTCAAGAGAGAAAAGGGGCTGGCATAGTGGCACATGCCTGTAATCTCAGTGGCTTGGGAGGCTGAAGCAGGAGGATACTGAGTTCAAAGCCATCCTCAGCAAAAGTGATGTGCTAAGCAACTCAGTGAGACCTTGTCTCTAAATAAAATACAACATAGGGGTGGGGATGTGGCTCAGTGGCTGAATACCCCTGAGTTCAATCCCCAGAAAAAAGGGCTGGGATGTAGCTCAGAGATAAAACACTGTGGGTTCAATCCCCAGGAAAATGAGGAAGGAAAGAAAGAAGGAAGGGGGGGAGAAAGGAGGGAGGAAAGACGTAGGGAGGTAAGGAAGGAAGGAAGGAATCTTCACATTTCAGAATAAACTGAAGGATGTTCAAAACACAACAATAAGCAGAAGCTAAAGGTGCATCAGACAGACCCAGACCGCAGTGGGGCTGGTGGGGTTTACCCTTGCTGCCAGTTGAAAGGCCACGTAGCCCATGGAAGGTGGGAAAAGCAGCTAGGAACTCCCTCCACAAAACCAAGACCTCCTAGAGGTATCCCACCTTGTGAAAAAGCCCAGAAAAACCCTTTCCATTGGCTCAAGGGAGCAATGAAGAAATCTGCCATGTCCTTGGGGCTGTAGAAGAGGGGGAAACACAATCATCAGAAATCAAAACCACAAACTTGTGCCACATGAGGACTTTGAATCAACACACCTTCTATGTAAAGTAGGACCTCTAAGACTATAATTAAAAAAAAAAAAAAACAATTGGGCCCAGCACAGTGGTACACAAACCTGTAATCCCAGCTGATGCAGGAGAATCACAAGTTCAAAGCCAGGCTCAGCAATTTAGCAAGACCCTATCTCAAAATAAAAAAGGGCTGGGGATATGGTTCAGTGGTTAAGTGTCCCGGATTTAAAACCTGGCATAAAAAAAAAAATGGCCTGTGTCAGTAAGACCCAAAGGACCTCAGCAGAATCAAATACAAAACCACTTTCCTGGACACACCAAACACATATGGAGGGAAACATTATACAAAGTGACACAGAAGATTTGAAAAGGAACAGACTAAAATTCTAGAATTGGAAAATAAATAACCAAGTTGATGGCTTTCACATAAGTGAAGACACAGATGAAAAGAAAATTAGTAAACTGGATTGTATATAAAAATGAACAATTGCACATATATAGTGTACAAGCATATATACATTCTAGAAAAAAAAAGCAGGGAAAGAGGGGTAAAAAGAGAAAAAAAATACCAAAGAGAAGAAACATAAAGAATATGGTAAGAAGGTCTAGCATATTTAGAGTCCGTGAAATGTAAAAATGGAACAGAAGTAGCCTGTGAAGAACTAATGGCTCAACCAGTCATGGTTGTGTAAACCTGTAATCCCATGGACTCAGGAGGCTGAGGCAGGAGGATCACAGTTCAAGGTCAGCCTCAGCAATTTAGTGAGGTCCTAAGCAAATTAGTGTGAGACT